AAGGTTAGAGATCATCAAGCTGATCAACAATCTACGCTTTGATCTATCGTACGATGACGTACTGCGCGTCGGCAGCGAGCTAACCAGCGCCTGTCGCAAGGGGATGATATTCTTCAAAGCCGCATTAGCTGCGGGACACAACATCACGCCTTTCCAGATAAAAATGTGCGACACCCTAGTCCGACGCTTCGTCCTCTGTCTTCACCGCCCATACTTCTCAAAAGCATTCAGAAACCCACGCTATCATTACTCAAGAAAGATATGTTTGGACACCTCGTTAGCAATCTACGCGCCGGCGACGGACAACGCGCCTGATGAAGAAGACGATTGGACACGTATGACACATCGATGTGTCGGCTTCTTTAAGTCATTCTTCCTCTACGGCATGTCAACCGTATATTACGAGCTTACTTCGCAAATCAATGAGAGACTAGAAGATGCAGCGCTCTTTGCTCCCATGGTTTCCGCACGAACACCAACATCTTCCTCCACAGGGTTGTCATCATTACCGGCACAGTATCAGCCTCTACGTGAAGTCCTGGAATCATCACGCCGCTTAGGGATAGCCCGGATTCATAATGGCGAAACGAACGCAAAGGGTGTCGTTTTCATAAATTGTGCCCTAGCACGCATCGACGCTTTAATATCTGGCAACGACCCCGACGCAGCTGTCCTTGAAGCAGCAAAAACTTCTACCAGCGAAACGAGTCGGATACTGGCTGAAGTATATCGAGAAGAGCACGGCGAAGAGATTGATCTAGGTCTTTCGAGCGGATGTTTCAATGGAAGAGAACACGGCCGTGGCGAAGGCGCTGATGACATCACTGGGAAGCATCTTCCTACTGGGACTGACGTCCAGAGCGGCTTCAGCAATGTTGCAGCCTTCCCTTCTTTCGACGGCACGATAGAGGGAATGAATATGCTGGACGCCGATCTAGGAGATATGAACATGGGTGTGGATGTTGACATTAATGCCTATATGCAAGGACAGCCTATGGACATAGGGAATGGCTTCCATTTCGGAAGGAGCCCCGAGTGGTTTTATGATCTTAATGGGTGGGCTGGGACGGGCAATCCCGGGAACCTTGGGTACGGTGTTTGACGCCCGTACCATACGATCAAAACCTATGTAAGGCTGCAGACCTTAATTCCGATACTCATCCGATGTCTAACCGCACCCGATAACAATCATGTCCGACACCACTCGGGTTACTCTTAAAAAAAACGGCCTAAATGTCCAGAAACAGGATGGTTAATTGCAGCCAATACCTCGTTCTATAGTTGCGATCCCGAGGATCCGCTGCCCGGCTTCCCAGCTTTTGCTATCATCGTGAAAACGGTGCACATCTCAGGCTCTTGCATAGGCTCTCCTAGGGAGATCGAGGAAACGCTACAGTTTATTGCAGATCGGTGTTAAGCCTCGATTGAAGCTCATCACGATGAAAAAGGCAAGCCGCGTCATTGTGGAGTTCGCAGAGGGTAAGCAACGACACAGATTCATACTCACAAACGAGAAACACACCAAGTAAAAGAAGATGAGATGAGGAAGATGTTGAGCATATGTAGCAGAAGTTGTCAGAGTGCAAATACAGTTTTTTGTATAATCCTCCTTGGGTGTAAATTTCGTTCGAAGATGCGTAGAGGACACTGTCGTGCTGGGAGCTATATAGTATCACACTTATGGCTCAATATTGAGTTACAAGCGACTGTCGAGATCAATCGAAAGACAAACTTCAAACTTCGTGAGCCGGAAGAGACACGCGCCCACGTGGGCGCTAAACATGGCACGCCTTACCATAGCGGGGTTGGCTTAGTCTTGGAAGCTCCATCAATGTCTTCCTGCAACTCGAATGAACTAACGAACAACATAGCGATATCTCCTTGTACATCGCAGCAGGTCTCACCGTGCTTCCATCCATCAGAATGTCACCCATCTCGCGCATGGCTCGTCTCCTTCTCATCTTACATGCGTTCGTCAACATAGTCTTCGGCATCTACCCCTTCGTCAACCCCGGGGAATACGCTGCCATAACTGGTGTAGAAGGCCCAGACAAGACCTTGCAATCGATTGGTAAGTCAGGATTTCCAATATTCGTTTCCCGCCTCGAATACCCGCATAAATTCGCAGATACCCATCCATCATACTTCAAGCTCAGGCTAACATTGTGACAAAGGTCTGGGTGGAATAGCAGTCGGCTGGTACCAACTCATCTTCACCCTCCAAGGCAACCGTCGCATGATGGCTTCTACGATCCCGATGAGATTGGGCTTTGCCGCAGTCATGTATAGTTGGGAGAAGCAGCCTGTGATGATTTACGAGCTTATTGTTGTGTGGTTCTGTTTACTTGGGGTGTTTGCTTAGAACAAGGAAACAACAGAGGAAGATCGACAGAGAATGGAAAGAGGTGAACGAGATGGTAATCAGGATCTGTGAAGTTCGAATGGGAGGTAAGAGCTACTTCATTGTCGATCTATGCTATCTATTCGCGAACAACCTCAAGCTAGAGATGAAGACAATTCTTGAATAAGAATGCTACGTAACCCCTTTTCCCTTCTCAACTCCATTTCACACTCCCTCCAGCTTTGCCATCCAGCCCCCATCCGCCATACGTATCTACAAAGCCCTCTCTAGTAAGATACTCCTTGTGTTCCTCGCTTCTCCACGCCAGCGCTGTACCCAACTTCCAACTCGTATCCATCTTATCGACTACCAGTTCCACAAGTTGCAGGTTCTGCGGTTGCTTGAGTTGTGGTTTCTCTAAGATGGCTGCTAACTCTGACTGAGTAGTTGCGCGATGGTAAGAGGATTGCGGGTCCGGATGGCGGTACAGAGGGAGGAGGTGAGAGTAGTTGTGGGGAACAATGTCGTTGTATGCTGTCAAGGATGTCAGTTGATGTTGGATCTACTATTTTCTGTGTAGAGCCGAAAAACGAATGGTAGATAGGGGAGAGGAAAGAAAAGTCTGACCTTGTTGAGCGCCCCAAATCAACCTCTCAACTGTATATCCATCATTATTAATGACAAATACGATAGTCTTACACTTCGCCTTAATCATAGTACCAATTTCCTGGATCGTCAGAGCCATACTTCCATCTCCTGTTATCAAAATCGTCCGTCCTTCTCCTTCTCTTCCGGCCGGTTGACTCTTAGCTTTGCTTTCTACCTCTCTTCGCGCAATTCCTACGCCCAGCGTAGCTGCAGTAGCGAAGCCGATACTACCGTAGTAAATCTGTGTGACTAGTCTGATATCTGCGGGGAACGTAATATCGCAGATGCCGAAGTTGGAAGTTCCAGTTTCGCTGACTATAGCGTCGCCGGGACGGATGAAGGATTGGATGGCGGGCCAGAGTTGGGATTGGGTTAGATGGGCTGACTTTGCGTCGAGTGGTGTGCGGGGTGGTGGAAGCTGTGGGTTTGGAATTTTATGCTGCGGTGTTGATGGTAGGGCGGCAGTAAGAGCTGCAAGGAGGGACTTTATGGCCGTGTTAGGGTAGGACTTGCCCTTGACCTGGGTGTCTGTCAGTAACTAGCGTCAGACGTGTTGTGCTGGATACTTACGATAACGTCGTGCGGATTGATGTGAATCGTACTACTCTCATCCAACTGTCTTGAGAACCCAGCCGAGTTCGTATCAGCAGGTATGTACCCTAGGGTAACCACCAAGTCTGCTTGTTTCGCTGCTTCTTTGACGCCCGGAGAACTGACTTCGCCATTCCAGACCCCCACAAAGTTCTCTTCTGTCTCGTCGACAACGCCTTTACCCATGGTCGCCGAGAAAAAAGGAACATTGAGTTTGCGGACTAGCTGCGCAGTCTCCTGGGCAGCATTGAAGCGTTGGACGAGAGCATCTACTAGTATTGTCGGATATTTGGCTTGCGTAACTGCATCCGTGATAGCCTTAACCGCTTCATCCTGTGTCTTCTCGTCAACGTGCGGCTCAAGATTGATCGGTGTTTCCAACAGCGCAGCATCCACCATCTCAGCACTCAAATCCAGTGGCATGAAAATATACACCGGCCCACTCTTGATAACACACTCCCTCAGCACCCTGTCAATCTCTTTCGGAGCATCTGCGACATCCCAGAGTTCTGCAGCAGCAAATCTCAGCCCCTCGCTAGCCTTGTTGTACATTTGATGATTTGGCTTATTGCCGATGCTGTGATGGATCATCATATTGCCTTTCTGCATCGCCCGTGTAGTCTGGCCAACGACATGGACGACTTTGACATGCTCACTCATGCTACCTGCGATGCCGTTCAGAGCCGATAGTTCACCGACACCGTGTGTGGTCACGAGACATCCGGGCGTGTCCTTGATACGAGCGTATCCATCGGCGGCGTAAGCTGCATTCAGCTCGTTTTGATTAGTAACGAAAGATAGGCCTGGGGTGAGGTAGATGGAATCGAGGAACTGGAGATTGAAATCGCCGGGTACTCCGAATATTGTGTCGACGCCAACTTGGTGGATGCGTTCCCACATGTAGCGTCCGAGGGTGATCTTGCCATGGCCTGCCATGATGAGCTATCTCCTAACTCTTTCTCCTTGTAACTGTTGCAGGTTTTGTGAGAGTATTTAAAAGTGGTATTGGTCGTTACTATCTGGATCTGTTAGTTGTGTTGTTCTAATATGCCGTGATCCCTGCAAGGCGTAGTAGCGATAAGCTTACTGTGTGCTTCTGCCAGGATTCTGAATGATATCAACCTGTAAAGTAAGCAAGGTTTAGAGAAAGTTCAAGGATAATGCAGAAGATGGACGCTAAACATCATAAGATTCACATGATGTTAGCCTCTGTCTAGGGCGTGCGACGCGTGTAAGGCGTTGTATGACAACCGCGGTTCGGTTGGAGACGGTTAGCTACAATGCGGGGGATCGGCCTAACATCGGAATGATAGCGGAAACAGGTGGCTGCGGTATTGGAGAGCAAAATAATCAGAGCTTTGGGAACAAAATCTTAGGAGTAGTTGAAGAGTTTCTAGATTTGGGTTTAGGTCTTTGACAATTACGCGCTTTCTTCTGTCGTCCCTGCAACCGAGTGCTTCTTAGCATCCTCGAAGCTTGCCATCTTGAAATCATATGGCAGCTCAAAGTCCGCTTGCGGATCTCCCTCGAAAGGTTTGAAATCTACAAGAAGAGAGTCTTTGACTGCAAAGACAGCGTCGTCGTCGATGTACTTGCTCGTTCGGTCGAAGATTTGGGTAACAATAGGTTTGTAACCGGGTGCAGTAAGCTAAGATACGTTAGAACAACAGGTCGCAGGCTGCTACTATGGAAGTTGACATACCAGAAAGTGTATATGAGCCGGTCTGAATGGGTGTCTATCCAACGCCTTCAAGACCTCGCCTGCAGGGCCATCAAAAGGTATGGGGTAGGGCACCGGCCTCAAACAATAGAAGCTATACTTCCCATCCTTGCCTGTTGTGAATCTGCCTCTGAGATTCATCTCTGGCTGGTCTGGATCCTGTTGTTCGTACAGTCCGTTCGGTGCCGTATGCCATACGTCCACCACCGCGCCCTCGATAGGCTGACCTGTCTTGAAGTCTGTGACGGTGCCATGCATAAATGTCCGGTCACCTTGCTCATTTATCTCCTTGGACACGATACAGGAGCCCATAGGCAGCTTCGGAGCGTTCTGCCGATAGAAGGGGCCTAGGATAGCGGTTGATGTGGGTTCGTCAGCGGCGGTAGAAGCAAGCTTATAGGTAATTTCGTCGACGAGAGACTCGAGGCCGAGAATATCGCACAGCAATTGGCCTTCATTGCGTTTGGAGTCTGACATGCGACCTGCTGCATTCATCTGAACATTGTTTAGCATGCCAAGCATCCTATTTCTCAGAGCCTTAAGCACAGAAGGCTTTCCAACGTACCAGCTCGACTCCTGTCATCCACTCATCGACGGTGAGCTCATTCTCCCTCGCAAAATCATGAAGATGCCGTATCAATCCTGCTGTAAGTTGCCTGACTCTTGGTGTAGCCTTTGGTCCCGTCGCATTGATGACCGCTTGTGTGAAGTTCGGATTGAACTTGTGTTCCTTGCTATCCGATACTGCAGACGGGTGTTGAGCTTGAGAGGCTGGTGTTCCTGTAGACATGACGTATCTCCGTGGTATAGGTTGTGAACGTTGCGGTTCTGTCTTTGAAGCAACAAGGATTTCCCTCCTTCTACGCAACACGATTGCGACTGGATCTTATATACACTTTACAATGAGAATAGTTCGTATTCCAGCAATCACGAAAGGACGTTAGCAATACAATCAAAACCCGGCATCCGGCAGCATATCGGCGAATTTGAACACACCAGTACAAGCCAGGTGCGCATAACTTCAGGGTCTATTGCTGGCTTACGCTTTCGCGACGTGAGATGGCGGGGCTGTGGAGCGAAGGGTGTAAATGGCACGAACGGAAGCTGATGTCGGTGGAAGCAACCCGACGAAGGGTGCGCCATCCGATACTGGGATCCCTGAGCCGACCAATAGGGAAAGATGCTATGTAAGATCGGTGATGAGCACGTACGAAGCAATCAACAGTTGTTGGCGGATGTGCTGGCTACGCCGCATGTCTATCAGGGCAATGGGCACAAAAGAATGCTCGTGCATATCATAGTTTTCTGGTGAAGGAATTGAATTGGTCGATTCGTGACCTTGATCGCTGTAAATGCTACAATATCGCAAGGGCAAGTTAAACTATGCAGAAGAAATCCAACGCCAATTTTCAGGTTCCGACAACAAGACAAGACGCTCAGTCGCTGTCATCGTCGACCCTGGCACGCTTGGCTGACCTGCCCTCAGGCTCTTGGATGCCGTAACGTTTCTCGCCTGTCTTCTCACCTTTTTCACCCTTTTCATCTTTTTCTCCACGAACCTCATCAATCATCTGGTTGATGTTGAATGGGTCATCAGTATCCTTCTCAAATTCCACAGGTCCGTCCCGGGCTTCTTGCAGATCGGCACCCTTGAAACCCTCCTTGGCCTTTCCGAGGACTTCGAACTTGTTTGTCTTTGTGATCCTATCGTATGTCTGTCCTTCATCCTCCCCGTCATCCTGTTGTACACTAGGGCGGTAGATGCTGCTAATGGCATCCTGAGCCGCAAAGAGAGGCTTGTCGTAATGGTTGTCCTCGTTGAAACCAGCGTTGAATCCGCTGGATTGGTTGAACAGTCGCGAGTCGTACATCGACTCTCCGCTCTGCGTCGGTTTTGCCAGACCAAGTGCAACCTTCTCAGAGATGTCACGATTCTGCTCCCGGGCGAGCATCTGGATCTTGCGCTCAGTACCCATCTTTGACTGACGAAGTTCGCGCTGGAAGTCCTCGCGCCGCTCTTTACGATCATTCATTCGCTTCCGCACTGCCTCCTCCTCTGAATCTGTGTCCGAATCGCTTTGTGATCGTCGTCGGGAGGCGTTGGCACGCTCTGCTCGTGCCTGTTTCGCAAGGTCCCGTAGGCGCTCTTCCTCCTTTAGTTTCGCCTTCTCTGCTAGTTTTTGCTGCATAATAGCACGCTGTTTGACCTCCTCTCGTGCATGCCTGTCTGCAGCCTGCAACGCTTCGCCAAATTGAGCGAACTTGTCGTTGATCGTGATATCTTGGAGACCCCGACCATCGGCTGCCAGACGTTTGTCTAGTGGTACAGTATAACCCTTGGGGTTCTTCCAGTTACTGATCGGGGGTGGAATCTTCCATAGCTCTTGGTCTTCGGCAGTCAGCTTTCGAGGCGGCGAGTGGAGGACGGGTGGAGGAGGCGATGGCGGTCCGCGGGGGATTCGCTTGTGCTTGAATTTGGGTGGTTCCATGGGGTCGATTTGTCTTTGCTGGATCTTGATAATGCGCGTTTGGCCTTGCGCCTGGCCGTGCTGCGCAGTGGGCGTATAACGAACGAACGTGGGCTCGTCATTCTTTCGTCCTTGTACGTTCTTTGGCTTTTGTGCGGCTGTCTGCCCTTGAACTAGTGCCATCAATGCCTGCTCAGTCTTCTCCTTGGTCGCTTGGACAACGTCGGCGGAGGGACGCGACAAGTCCAGCTCGCCGGCGTCTGCCTGTTGGCGCAAGGGGATAAGGTCCTTGAAGCTTGCTTGTACAATCCTTGAATCGCCGTGTCCGCGTCGCGCAATCTCATCGTATTTGGTCTTGCCCTCGCCGTCGACCCTTCTTACAAGAGCATTCGATGTGGATGGTGTGCCCTTCTTTCCCATGTCCAGTGGGTATTGCGCGACTAGTACTTCGGGGAACGCGCCTCCATCGCCAAAGTCTAGATATAGAGTCAGTGCATGTTTCGCGTGCATCTCATCTGTCCAAGCCTTACCTTCAGGCGCGCGGGGTCTCCAGTGCTGCCTCTGGCCGTAGGGCGGCGGACCCTTCTTCGCTACGACTTGCGCTTCGTATTGCTCTGCGGTCAATACGCGCGTGCTGTTGGTGAGCTCCTCCTCTTCGCCAGAGTACTGCGGCTTCGGCAGCGACTTGGATAGTGCTGCGACAGACATGGTCGATGTACTCGCTAGAACGGTCTGCGAGGCGATGAATGTTGGATATCGTGATCCGTGTTTGGTTGTGGTGGTGGTCGATGGACAAGATTATTTCATCAGACTTTCGGCGTTCTGATTCAGCCACCGCCGAGATCACGTGAAGAGACGCCACAACGCCACAACCAGTGAACGAGGCGCAACTGGCACTAGCATGTGCGCAAATACGTTGAACCTACCGTTTATCGATTTTGTGTACACGATAAGCGAGCTAAACTCTGTCTTGGGTCGCGAAATTGCAGTGTCCTGGGAAGGTTCTCCCGCTGATGCCGCTTTCATTTTCACGACTCAAGCTACGGCGATTCTTACTTGTGACTGACATGGATCAAAGTCCCCGTCCCAACTCGCTTATAGCGCCATTGACCAGGATGGCGAATGCAGGAACAGTCGCTCTGAGCACAGTATTTCTGCAGTCTTTATCTTTTGCGGGAAAAGTGTGGAGAGTTGGAGATGGGGTCCTGCTAAGGTCCAAGCAGCGGTGTGCGTTCACCGGACGAGATGTCCACACAGCATGCTTTTTAGGATAAATGCCCACAATGGGAAGATAATAATCGCGCAGGTGGACGTAGGGCCTTGCTTACCAGGAATTCTAATCAGAGCAGGGTGCCACGTCTCGTGTGTTTGTGCAGAGCACTCTTTGGCAATCATGGTCCATGGCAGAGATAGGGCAGAGCATGTGATGGCAGATATAGGTGCTAGGCTATATTTCTAGTTAGCTGCACATCATACCGTTGCTAAGAGACGGTTCGGAAGCTCGTCATTCGTTCCAGAAAGGACTGTGACATCTCGTGCAGAGTGGCCCGGCACCCTAGCAACGAATGGGCCATGGTCAAGATGCTAGGGATCCCCAGCGTCGCAGCATCAATCCTCTGAACTTTGAAGAGAGCATGCGCAATATACGACGGCTTGCGCGCGGACTGTGGGTCACAAAAGCAGCCATGACGGGCTGAGTATTCTGAAACGTTGTCCGTCATCCCTGTCTGGTGTGCCAGCGCAGGCCTGCAGCTATGCCGACCCATTCTCGGAAATCATCTGGAGGAGCCTCACAACACACCACGCAAAGGCGCAATTCGACTTCCCAGCAGACGCCGCCCAAGCCGCCCAAGCATCTGCGCAACAATACCGCTCCCGAGCCGCCGACGCTCTTGCGCCTGCCATCTGTGAGCTCGACCACCTCCGCCCGACGACCCCCAGCCTCGCATAGTGGCCATGGCATAGATAATTCGCGCGGCCCTCCTGTCACCTTGGTTACACGCAGTCGAAGTTCGCAAAACCCCGCCGACTTTGCCTATGCGCAGCAGCAACAATTCATCCACTCAGGCCTGGTTTCCCCCACTAGCTCCCACCACTCGAGCAGCAGACGACGCGGGGAGGACGAGCTGGGGACCTCTAGTGAAGCCCCGCGACCACCACCACAACAAACAAGCGCAGCAGACCCTGGCACTGGGAATCTCCCCAGACCCCGCCCGCCCCGAAGAGCCTCTACCAGCAGTTCGAGGCCGCCCCCACCGCGACGCATGGCCAGCTCAACCGACGAGTCGTCCGAATACGACTCTGGCCCCCGCAGCCGAATGGAAGACTACCACGCGGCGCATAGCGGGAGAGGTGCGCCTGCGCCTGCAACTCCAGGAGCAGATGGAGATAAGGAGGACCTGTTTCTGAACATTGCCGCAGACAGCGCGCCCAAGCCCCAGCGCCCAGCAGAGTCCGCAGCAGCGCGCGTCGATCGATTGAAGGTGAGCGCCCCAGTCCGCGCAGACAACATGTACGAGCGCATAGAGTTCAGCAAGAGAACGCTGTATCCGGCGGATGCACCTGCTGCTTGTACGCCATCCGTACCTACACGCGTTCACTGCCTCCATGCGCAATATGCCGTCTCCTCCATGCCTTTTGTCTCTTCACAAGCTGTATCCTATGCAAGACCCTGGTGCTAACTACAACAGTCACGAGTGGCCCGAGTCAACAACCGGCAGTCGCTCCCCTCTGCGCTGCAGTCGCCCTCGCCCGTGCAGTCGACCTCAGTGACACCAACAACAACAAGCCGCATACCCTCCGCTGTTGCCCTGGAAGCCAGGTCGAGCGGCATACGTCGGTCATCGCTTTTGCCTACTCCCTCCAGATACGAGCGATCCCCAAACTCGCCTGCGCCTGACGCAATACGAACCCGGGATCTCAACCACAAAGCCTCCTTCACCTCATCACGAAGAGACGCAGAGCTCTCCCCACGCGACTTCCTAGCCCAGTTCTCAAACTCGTCCAGACGACCATCTCAGCCTGAGGTGCAACACACGCCGCCAAGTCGCACCCCAGCATACCCTTACAGGCCGTCAAACCTGTCACACGAGCCACGGACGCCCCAAGTGGAGACGTCGTTTGAGGCTGGTTCACGCGCCGATGGTACCGAGTCGCATGGCTCTACAGGGCCTGCTGCGTCTGTGTGGGACGAGCTGGACGAGTTGAAGTCCAGGATACGGAAGATCGAGATGGGCGGCAAGATACCATCGACATCAGGCGCCATCGTGAATCAAGCTTCGGCTTCGGCTTCGGCCGATCGTCCACGAACAGCCAATACTTCAGCTACGACAGTGTCCTCTTCACCAAACCAGCAGCGCAAATCGAACCCGTCACCCTCTGAGTCGACAGTGGGCAGTAATACACCTAACAACAGCAAGACACACCCTCTGCTGCGGGACGCTCTCAGCAAAGCTAGGCAGCATGTCTCTCCAGCTGTGTACCGCACCCTAGAATCGACCGCGACAGAAGCACTCGCGTTGGCAGAGATGAGCGGCAGTGCGGGACCGCAGGGCACACTCCATTCTGCTAGCTCCATCATCAACGGCTCTGTAGTGTCGGATCGCCAGGTCCGTCGCAAAGCCGACAACCTCTGCCGTAGTCTTACAGAGCTCTGTATAGCTCTATGTGACACCAAAACTGGTCTTGCCAGTCCAGCCTTCCGATCAAATACAGCCACAATATCACGCAGGCCAAGCGTACAATTCAATGGCGATTCGCCGACAATCCGACAAAGCATCGAACCCGAAAGCAACACATTGACTGGCGTCAGCCCTAGCAGAGCCATGTCACGCATCGAGGCTCGAAGGACCAGTATGCTTATTCCTGAACCCAATGGCAGCCAAAGAGGTAACAGCCAAGAACCTTACGACGACAGACACACTCCGTCGCGCATGCAGCGGGCAGGCACAAGCTTCCACCAGACACGCAACAGCGTGGATGAGGAAGATGAGGACCCAATATTTCGTGCGCCATCCCGTGCAATGACCTCCATCGATTTTAGAGCCCGTCATGGTGGTCAGAGTCAAGCAGACAACAAAAATCGATTCAGCAGACAGTACACATCTCGCGAGCCAATGCCTGACCTACAACCATCACCTGCGCTCCAAACTACCGCTAGTTTGCGTCGGCCCAGTGTCTCAAGTAGTACGCCCTCGAATGAGCATAGTCTACTATTCCGGGACGGTCAGAGCCGCTACGGTCACAACTTAGGTCGTGAAGGCTCGCCAGCCAACTACGAGAAGACCTTGACAGGGGGTTTACGACCACGAGCGCAATTGAATGTTGCTCGGAATCCGAACAACAGACACTCAGTGGGCGGTGTGTCGGATATTGGGCGTAGCGTGAGCTTAGGCAGGCGACTGAGGGGAACAAGTATCGGAGAGTGAGCAAGATGTAGCTCTCGACTTCCTTGAGCTTGTGTTGACGTTTTACGTTACCCTATTAGCTTATCCAGCCTCCTCGTTGACCGGCGTGTAGTCACGCCGCGACTGACGTATCTGAGGCCAGATTCGCCATGGGCATACCAGCAGCGGCGCATCACACAAAGCCGAACAACAAACAAGACCTAGAATCAGACGCTCATAGGAGCATACTGGGAACGAACATGTGCAGTCAGCCTCGCGAGGCATGCTACGTCTAGGCGATTCACCATTGTGAAGTTTCAAAAACATTGTGAGAGAAAACTGTTCTCATGACTTGCATTTTTTGCCATCAAGGGCCAACTGCGGAAGCATTTGTTATCAGCGTTTCAGCACGTAAAAGGACAGCGTGTGAGCGCAGGATCGATCACCGTTCATCTCATGATCTCGAATTTCTTCCTTTTTTTCCTTTCTTTAGTTCATATACCAACACCAGATCGTTTTCCTTGCTTTCCTCGCTTTCCTCTCTCTTCAAAACATAGGTATTGAGACTCTGTGTACATAGCATCTACCAAAACAGCCTTTCTTCTGTGTAGATCGAACGTGGATGAACTACAAATAATTCGCCGAACAAAAGCTAATGACTCTTGAAGATCACACGTCATTGCCAGAGCAAGCTTTGTGAAGAACATGTGACGAGCAAGCTCTCACGCATGCTTTGACGTTACTCTTAAAACCAGGTTCTTACCACTCAGTTGCTCTCAGGACCAAGCAACCTCACAATATCGCGGCAAAGCAGTCATAGATCTTGGGAACATGGACTTTCTGTTCGCACACCAGCTTTTCGAAGACTTCTGCTACTGGCCCTGATCCGCACGTTGAGTCGCATCCTACTACGGACACCGTACAGATGGGATCACTACCGCATTGCCGATTGGTGATTGCTCCTTTGATGAGTAGCTTCCAAGGGTCCTTGTGGGTCGTCATGTGATGCTAACCATTCACAAGGGCCTCGTACCTGCCTTATAGAGATATGTGCGCTGTTGCCTTATATTACCGACATAGCCTAGTCTTGCGAAACCGTGGCTCAGACATACTGAATTTCCACGCTGAAATTCATGAAAAGCGGTGCGTACGTTGATAAAGAGCGTAATCTCCCTTTCAACACTGTCACTCACTATCCTCGCTAAGTGCTCACCGTCCATGCAACAGCAGTGTGAAACAACGACATTTCCTGCGTTGAAGCAAACTACTTTCTGAAAGCGCACCAGCCCACATTCACTCTTTTAGACACTTTTGGGTTCTGGCTATGACGCAGTTGCACTCGCATCCTACTTCGAGTTCCTCTCACGTACCTAGTTCTTCACGACCAAGATATACCACGACAACAGCACCTCTCTCCCACACCACCACTCACATTTCGCGCCCAAACAACGCAAATCCGCACCCAAACTCAGTTTCAACTACAGCAAACTCGCGATCAAGCGCATCCCTAATTGCTCCAGTGCTTGAGCAAGCAGTGATTGTTACTTCGCGGCCACTTGCAGGCTATCACATCGCGCAGGTCGCCACAACTTCCGACCTTATATACTCTACAATTTCAACCAGCAACGTCGGATCCAGGAAACGAAGCCACGACATCATGGTGGAGCAAAATGAGGTTTCTGACGAGCGCATGCCTGCCCAGGTCACCGCGCAGGTCGCGCTTACTTCATCAGAGCAGTCTGTCCCACATCCAAGCTCTTCTTCCCCGTCACAATTAACTGCCGGATCGCAATCACTTGTACCTACTGCCGTGCCCATATCCACGAGCCAGCCTGACTCTGATTCATGTTTGAATTCATCTGCGGTCGATATTGATTTCTCTCAGGGCGCGGAGCCACATATCGAGTCAAAACGACTGGCATCTCCACCGGTTCAGAGTGACCCCACGACGGATCTGCAACTTCTGGGTGATACACACAAGCGTTCGCGATCACAAGAGGAGAAACACGCTGGTTCTGCCATGCCCATAACTCCATCCTTCCTTGATGATCTCGGCAACGAGGTAAGTACGACGCCTCCGCTGTTGGAGCAGATAGCAACACCAAGATCATCACCAGATGGATCCGCTGGACGGCTCACCCTGTCGACTGCAGCTCCGTCCTCTAGTCGGACGCCCTCTGCTCTGCAGATCTTCGAGTCTCGCAGCAACCAAGCAAGACAGGAGCATTTTAGACGGACTAAGATTTTCCACAAGACACGTTGTTCGATGATGTGTCAGACAAAGAGGATGCTCGTGTTTGCCTCCCGTGGATTCGAACGTGGAAGTCTACCTACGAGGCAGACAAAGCCTCCTCTATTGAAGCGGCGTCACAGCATCGATGTGAACACTACCGAGAACTGGGAGACACGAAATTTTTCTTGCTGGCTACATTTTCATATGAAGGTAGACGATTTGCAGCCACTGCTTCATATTTCTGCGTGGCCGACTAACATTGTACAGCAAGATCGTCTTTGCCCACAGACCTCAGAGACAGAAATTCCCTACGTTACGTTAACGCAATATTCACTTCCTGATCCCCGTCGATATGCTGCTTTTGTTCCAGTGTTCTATACTGAGATTCCTCACAACACTGAAAATTTCCTTGAGCTCGGGGACGTCACCTTACAAAACGACGCCTTTCACTATATTGGCGCTACCTGTTACGCCTTGTCTGGTATGGAAGTCTGGATGCGTGGCGAGAGTCTGGATATGGCTCTTGAAGTACTCCGCCGTGATGAAGATTGCGACACTTACGGTATCGACATTGCCAATTCCACTGTGGCCCAGATCTGCTGTTTCGCCTCAAACGGTATAGATGGCCCTTCAGGAGAATACGACCAGTATAGGACACGTTACAACAACAAGAACTGGATCATCGTTATTTGCAACGATGGCATGGGTGGTATCGAGAACGATGGAACCAGCGGATCACATTGGTCTATGGTGGCCATGGACAGGATCTCGAAGAATGCGTACTACTACGACTCGTTGTGGGTTGATCGGCACGAATACCAGACCTTGGGTCGCAACATCTCCCTCGGTATGCTCAACATCCTCGGCGAAGACATTTCTCTATGGACCTACCTCATACAGCTCGAGAGCCCCGATCAGAGCTTTGACAACTTGTTCAAACAGGATGGAGGTGCCTGCGGACCCTTTGTGTACAAGATGACGCAAATCTTGATCAGATATATCAAAAGTCAGCAATCATTGGGTGTGGAACGATTGAGTCTGGCTGTAAACCACGCATGGGTGACGCAGGTATTCTCACCGCAATTCCATTCGGGTGTTGTCCGCCGCGAGATGCAGGACAGTATCCTTCGTTGGCACCATATCACCAGAGCCGCGGCGTCCGCAGACCGTCACGACTACCAGGCTATCCAAGATACAGATGCTATTCTGGATGATGGGCCAGTCGTCTCGTTCGAGATCCCGCCGAAGCCACGGCTTCCGGTTCTGCGTCGAACTCACTACACTAATAAGCTCTCAAGGTCACACCATATCAGGCGTGGCTGCTCCAGCGGTACCAACTACCATGACCCCATTGATTTGGACGATAGCGACGAAAACTGGACCATGGGTAACAGCAGCGACAACAGTACTGCAGGATCCTCAAGTGGTGGTACCGTAATCATTGGACATGAAGTTCTCTGGGAAGACGCAGGCGTCGATACAGCTATGGACGAGGAAAAGCTTTTTCCTGTCCTCGACAGCGGTATTCAGCTTATTGAAGCAACTGATGACGTCCAAGACGAACATACGCCTGTTCGTCTGCAGAGAGTCGTCAACCCAACGGAGCCTGTCGACGCGGAGGAAGGACCTAGTGTGACCAGGCTTGATTGAGAGCCTAACAACGTTTCTAGGAGCAATATCTGATCTTGATCACATGATAACAGGTGTTCATCTTGACGATACCTTAATAGCTAGGTTTCAATTTCACCGCCGCGCTCGGAACGATTAGGTTTGTACCAAGACTCGCGCACTGAACAACTTATCACGCAACTCGCCGACGAAACAGAACGCGTTTACGATTGTTTCTTTGTCTTTTATGAGAGTAGTTTTTCCCTTAATTGCTTTCTTTTGAAGCGTTACCTGGCCTTGGCAACCACTTGATGGTTATCGCGTCGGATTTGGGTTGTAATGAATGGCAGTGGCGCATCAAAACGGGTCACTATTTCGATATGGGGACGGACACCGGAAAGTCAAAACATTCTGCAGAGGTGCCGGAGGGGGGTATCTATGGTTGCGTCGTGAAGTTAAGATACCACTAAGCTGGACGTTCATATGGGTTGTTCTCACGGGTTGTACAGATGTTTATGGCTTCGCGGTACGAAACCAGATGAAACAAAAAAGATGCAGAAAAAGGAGTTTGAGGCAAGACAGCCAATACAAAAAAGTTTGAGATAGATTCCTATTTCCAATTCTGCTATGTTGTAATATGCATAGGTGAAGTTGCTGAAATTGAAGCATACCTTCCTGTAATGGAACAAAGTCCCTGTCGGTACTAGGCTGAGCAGCAGCGTTCGCGAGAAATAGCTTTCACGCTTTCCCAGCGATCAACAGCCTACTGAACTTACCGAATTAGGAAATAGCAAGGCTAGAATCGCCATCGCCATCGCCATCGCCATCCCAACCACATCAAGATCCTGTTTTTTGCCCATCTGTCCCGTCATCCCCAACCACCTCGCCAACCACCGCAGATCATGCGGCTGAACTCGCCATCGCCATCGAACATCGCAAGCGTAGTTGCGCAAAGTAGTGGCGGTGGCAAAACTGCAGCCGAGGTGCGGCGAACAACGACCCCGGGAAGGCGAAGATGTCGTGCTGCGGATGTACCTGTCGGTCTTGTCTATCACTCAGGGACAAAACAGGGGACTTGCCGTTTGACTAAGGGTTAGCCATGTTGATCCGCTTGCGAAGCTGATGCGAACAAGAGAAAAAGCAATCATGATGCTGGTTTCGGGAGTCGTGGAACGGAGGTGACGTAACCGTGATCCAGACCCAGCCTAACGTGACCCCCTAACCAGACTTTGTGTGTATGTGTGTATGTTTGTTAGCCTTGATCGTAATATTGATCGAAAACGGACTGCTAAGCGCGAAACCCGATGATACTACTGAATGTCTACCACACGGCGCAAAACGCGTGTTGTCTGTATATCAGATACGCACAATCAGACGCCCAAGTTGCCGCCCGGCGACGTATTGATTCACGCAGGTGACCTGACGAACCAAGGAAGCTATACCGAATTGAAAAGAAAGGTTGAATGGCTTGAGAAGCAAGATTTTGAGGCGAAGATTGTGATCGCTGGTATGAAGAAATATGCTCTTTACTTTGCAAGAGGAGACTGCTGATACTCGAGGCAAAAGGAAACCACGACATCACACTTGACAAACCGTTCTTTGAAGAAAACAAAGCATCGTGGAAATGGCCTGGCTTTCAAGATACAGAGGCGTGTAGGAAGTTGTTGACGGAATCTAAATCGATTACTTACCTTGAGAATGAGTCTACGACGGTACGACTTCCAAGACGAGGAACGTGGTTTACTGTCTTTGGCAGTCCGTGTACGCCCAAGCAGCAACTGGCGGATTGGGCTTTTCAATACGAACCCAATGAGGCAGAGAAAGTGTGGAACAGAATTCCAAATGGCGTGGATATAGTAGTTACTCATACACCGCCAATGGGGCAATGCGACGGAGTAGGAGCAAGTAGGCAACAGAAAGATGGAAGGTCAGGATGCCCAGCCTTGTTAAGAAGATTAGAGATAGTCAGGCCGATGCTGAACATCTGTGGACACATACACAATGGACGAGGGGTGGAGACGGTACAATGGAGAAGAAGATCTTCCTCTCTACAGCTACATGGACAACCCACAACTATGGATAGCGGTACCCTAGTTTCAAGCGTGCAGTTCTGGAACGACCCAGGAGCCTCGAGCAAGAAACTTTCTCTAGTCGATTTGACGACGATGCGGGCGAGAGCAGGGCGTGGTTCGGGCTGCGACCACACAAGCTTGACACGTCAATTGCAGCCTGACTCGCGATGCGACCATCTTCAAGGCCAGCCTGATGCGTCGTTTGCACCGGATCAGACAGGGCATAAGCCCCCATCCGGTGGAGATGCGAAGGGTGAGAAGCTTAACCCAACAGCGAGCCTCACTGACGTTGCCCTGCGGGACAGTGAGGCGCTGTGGGGTGGTAGTGGAGGTAAGGCAGGAGGGGGCGGTGGATTAGAGCATCACGATGAGAGCGATACCGGACATGGGTGTCCTGACGAGGCTACTCAGTATATCGCAGAACGACCGAGGGGTATGCCTCCATCAGGGACGGAAGTGGCGCGTAGCCAGACTACAGTGATCAACGCAGCGTATCTGGGCCCGAGAGTTGCTGGCAAAACGTCGGTTGTGTACAACAAGCCGATAGTCGTCGATGTTGAGCTTCCCGTATGGGGCTCTTTGGACGAGCCAAGTGAGGTATACCCTCAGGGCTAATGTGAGATGACGGGTTGACTGCAGCGTGCCTGGCCCAAATGATCTCATATTCTACCAGCGAACGACACTCTAGAACCAACACCTACATCATTCTGCTTGCTGTTTAATACATACTGTGTGCTATCTCACTTGTTTCATGCAATGGTGGAGGACCACGTAGGAGGACCTGCTTTGACGGACTGTGAGCTGACCATGTCACGATTGGGTGTGACATACAGTAGTGCCCCGCCTAACCCCGCATAAGCGTATCTTATCGTCCATTCAGGCCGCGGGCTAACGTCTGCCAGTCGGGACGGATCGAGTGGCAGCAAATCTGTGTCTTCTCACATGGCATGGGATGGAAAAATTGCTGACTTGCGACGCAACCGCCGTGCCCTGACCCGAGTTGAGACACGACACAGGGATGCCCCTCAGCAGGGTGCATAGTAGATGGAGTGATGTGCGGAGGATGTGCAGAAGCTGTGCCGAGTGCCCGGTGACTGCTGTCGTCTGAGTTGAGGTAGACAAGTGTCTCGGAAGCTACAGAAGAGAGTTTGCTTGGTTGCATCTCGAATGTGACGAGACGCTTCTCGATTTGTGCTCTGTGCTTGACTTGTACCCTATCTGTGCAGCCGGATTCGTCATGTCTTGTAAATGCTCATGGTGGGGTTGGGTGAGCATTTCTCAAATGGTGTGGTCACTTGGGGCTTGGGTGGTCATGCAGGCTGTACGGGTTGATCCTATCAGATGCGGTCCGCCAGAAAGTCTCGAAACAGTCCATGTGGCCGCTTTGGGGCTTGATTGGAGAGGGTGTTTCGTAGCCGCCGCGGCCGACAGGTCGACCTGCAGCGTGCTCATGTGAAGCAACGGACAGCGGCTTGCGCGATGCGATGCGATGGGACACGATGATGGTGGCTCAGAGCGGGGGCTAGGACAGTCGAGGAGCAGCTGTGACGACTCTTCAGCCGTGGACGAGTTTGGTAGGCGAGAGCTGGATAGCGTGGGTAGCGCATGCATGTGGACGCTGATGAAGCGTGCGGTGCAAAATAGACAAGTGCAAAGCCAGTCCGCAGCAACCCCCCGTTGACACAGGGATTCCCAGGACGGCTGTTGAAGCCTTGTGCATGCGAGCCTGATATAGTCACAACTGCACCCCCAAAGGCGTGCAGGCTGACTGCTCCCAACGCAATTCCCGTTGCACAATTCTATTCTTCGAAGCCCGAGTCTTCTGTTATTTTTCGATTCTTTGCGTCCAGACTACGCGGTGCGATCCCGACTATTGGCAGCCGGATCCTATTGGCATATTGGCATCGCTGAAACGGTGACGTCGCAAAGCAGCTGCACCCACACCGCAAGTCCACCAAGCAGCGCAATCGACGCTGCCGGGCAACCACGAGGCAGCTAGAGGCGGGAGAGAGCAAGAGAAGAAGAAGATCGCACAGCCTCACTATTGTCACCGACTTGTCGTCCGGGTAGCTTGTTTTCTTGATAATTTCTTTGTCCAGATTCTTTGATCCGAAATTTTTGTCGCTTTGCCACGACCTTCCGCCGTCTTCGATCCGCCGCCAGTCTTGCCCGTCTCGCGTCTGTGTCCCTGAGCGGACCCACAATTCCTTAGGTCAGCAGATTCCAAGCCAGCCATCCTCGTCACCCCCGTCCCAGGAACACCCGCAGTCGCCCAAAGCTCTCACCACCGGCACATACTGCACCCGACTCTCCTTATAGGGCTCCCATACCGGCCCATCTGATTCCCATCGCTCTTGCTTTTGTTGCCGCCGCCGCCTATACAACAGATCCGGCCGCCCAACACCGCCACACCTCGCTTGCTCATCCATCAATCACATCCATTGACTCGCTTGGCCGCGTCCGCATGTGTCAGGTCTGAGTCGCAAGCAGTCGTTGCTGTCACACCACGTATAAAAGAGACACGATACCCCACACCCAGCTAGCAGCAATCCCCTCCCCACATTCACCGCCATGGACGAGCCCACGCCCGATCACTACAAGGCCCTGGGCCTCGACAACACCGCCGACGCCTCGACCATCAAGGCTACCTACCGCAAACTCGTCCTCAAGTGCCACCCGGACAAGGTGACCGACCCTGCCCTGAAGGAGCAGAAGCAGGAGGAGTTCCACAACATCCAGCAGGCCTACGAGTGCCTCATCGACCAAGAAAAGAGGTCCAAGTACGATGCACTAGTCAAGCTCGAGAAGCTGCGCAGCGAGCGAGCTGCTGCGAGAGGAGCCGCGCCGCGCGACAGGACTGCACGCTTCGATGTCCCCACACCAGGCGGTGCGTCCTTCGCCGCAAGCGGTCCTACCCGCTACACCACCGAACACCGTGCGCCAACCAACGCGCGCGACGAAGACGAGCGTTACTATGCACGATACCACACCACCCCGTCCAAACCAACTGCAGCTTCGAGATCCACTCGCGAGAAGGAGTCATCAAAGAGCTCCCGACACGCCAAGGAAGATAGATCGCGATCGGACCGCGAGAAAACGCGTGCCAAAGAATCTCGAAGCGACCGCAAATTCACCAGTGTTGACAGTGAGTCATCGTCGGACGAGAAGGCGCGCTACGAGGCAGCCTACAAGACCCGTACCGAGGAGGAGGCTGCTCGGCGCAGGGCAGAAGAACGTCGGACCTACGAAGACAACCGATATGCTGGCGCCGCCCAAGCTGTCCCTGCTGCACGCAAGATGAGCGTCCAGGAGCAGGAGGCGCTTCGCTACCAGCACAAGTCACGCGCCCAGGTCGAAGAGGAGATGTCTTCCCGTCCCTCACCAGCTAGGGCCTCTTCGCGTGACTACTTCAACGCTGAACCCCGCCTTCAACGACGAGACAGCGCCCGACCCGAGCCTGTCCGCAGGTCGTCTGCCCGGCCAGGCAAGGAGAGACCGTCCATGACCCGCCGCGACACCGATCGTACCGATCGCGGTATCCCCGAGGTTGTCGAGTGGGCCGATGACAGATATGAGGAAAGACGAGTTCCCGGTTTCAAGCAGACGACCTCATCGCCGGCTGACCTTGCACGCGGAATGCCTCAGCGCTCGTACACTGATCGGTCAACACGACATGCCGAGAACACGCCACCGTCGTTAAGTCGGTCATCCACCATGCCCAACAGCATCCCACACGTCTCCTCGTCCTCACGGAGGAAGGAGTCCGTCACTCCTCGCGGACCTTCTAATCTTCGCGAGACCATGACATCAGAACAATACAGCAGTCCAGAGAAATACGCGAGTCCTGAGAGAGATGCCTTCCCTACTGTCCCACCTTCATCAACCGTCAAGACATACTATTACCCCGTTGCTGGAGGTGGCGTTTCTGCAGAAGCACCCTCTTCCACTCCTCGCCACGTCGTCCGCGAACCTACTAGCCGCCAACACCGTTCAAAGTCACCGATTGGTAAGCCCCCGATTGGTGCCAACCGTCCAACAGAGCCTGTTGCATACAAGACCGTCCCGCGGCCAACTATGCCAGGCCGCACCGACTCCAGTCGCACTGATGCCAGTCGCACCCTTTCGCCAAGTCGTGAAGACCGCGGACGCTCAGGACGACCCAAGCTCTATGGTGAAATTAGCGGCGAATCCCAACCCCGACACAGGGTACGCCAGTCGAGCATTGAACCCGAAAATGTTCAGTACAGTCGTAGATACGGTCCTGAAGATGTCAGATGGGCACCGAGATCTTCTGCCGACCCTGATAGGGGCTATGCTAGCAAACCACATCTTAGCAGGACTGCTACATATGTTTACTAGTAGTCTAGCGACAAGCACAAATAACAACACGAATACAGAGGCATTTCATTGCCACAGGATACCCCCAACTCCCGGCTATCGGATGAACAATCGGGATCATACTTTGGTTTCTACCTGGCGTTTCACGGTTCATATTCCTATCTCGTCTTGGTTTCGGTCATGGTTATTACTCACTCGACGCAAGTGCTGCGTTGGCGTTTGAGGAACGACTCTATGCTACTGTTCGTTTCCACTCGGAAACTACTCCTCCATCTCTGTACATTGCATATACATCGAAGCTGTTCTCAGGCTTCGATACTTCCATTCGTTCTTTCAACTTGAGCAAAGCTTCATGTTTTGATGACTCGGGTGGCTTTTACATTCGCTTATTATTATTATTTTTTGGCATCGCGGCATTTATACGTTCGCTTCCACACATGATACCACGAATTCTGGCATATTTGCACAGGGAAGGAGACACATAGTACATAGATTAAAGTAGTAACCTCAATGAGAGAAATCAAACAGATAACTTCAATTGGGTCCTACATATCATGTCAACCCTTACGTGATTTGAGTCAACAAATTGTCATCCTATCATGTCTTGTCTGTCGGCAAGACTAGTATGCAGATTCCTGCAGCCTTGACGTTGGATTTTGCAAAACGTAAATTAATCATCAGCACCACCCACCCGTCTCACAACACATTCCTGCGTTCCCAAATCTCACACCATACCCTCTTTCAACCCCACTCGTTCATGAGTGAGTAGTGACACACCCCATCGCGCTTATGTGTAATCGTGTAACCAGCCCAACGGCGATCTTGCAGCCTCTCATCTCTCAGAAAGGAACAGTTCTATATGCCGCAAAGCTGTACCGCGATGCAGGTAAGACGCATGTAAGCTTTTAGGTGTATTATGTAGGTAAGACGAGCAAGATTACCTCAGCCGTGTCTCGGGCTGAGCTAGCCTTGCCAGTCTCGCCTGCCTGTGTGGTACAAAGTACGAGCCTTTGCTTAGCCGCATCTGGCAGAAGATAACATGGTCAGATCATACGGAAGCGCAGGAGGCTGTCGTATAGACTACGCGGCAAGGGTGTTTCTGCGCGCTTTTAGGAAGATTACCCGGATCAGAGGCAGTCAAACGCTCCTAATAAGCTTTGAATGCATAACGCGGTGTAGGAGCAGCAAAGGATGACTTCGAGTATGTTGAATATATGTGTTCCATTCATTTACATAGCCTTTTCCACCCATCTGAAACCCTTATATGATCCACAAAG